GTTGCCCAGGTCCCCGGCGTGCTGGGGGTACAGGGGGGTCAGGAGCCCCCCAAAACTCACAGAGCTCTCCTCAAGCCCACAGACACCCCTTGAACACCACAGAGACTCCCCCGAACCCTCCAGAGACTCCCCACACCCCTCATAGCCCCACAAAAACCTCTAAAAATCCCACAGAGACCCCCCCCCAAATTCCCACCCCCAGCTCACCCTGTGCTGGTCCTGGGGTGCCCCGTGGGTCTCCCCGTCAGGGTTGAAGTGGCCCCCGCAGCTGTTTTTGGGTGGTGGAGGGGTTATGAGGGGGTGAAATTGGGGGTCTCACCCACTCTAACCCCCCTCCCCAGTCCCTCCCCACCCCTCTCACCTGTTACAGGGGTCCGAGAGGTCCCCGAATTCGTGGATGTGGAGCCCGTGGGGGCCGGGGGGGAGCCCGGACACGGCCCCGTCCACGAGGCAGCGGCCGGGGGAGATCTGCAGGAACCGGACCAGCCCCCGAACCCCCCCGGGACCCCCCAGCGCCGCCACCGCCGCCCCCCCGGGGGGAGCTGGGGGGGGGACACGTCAGGGTCTGGCACCCCCCAAAACCCCCCCGGCACAAAAACCTCAGGGAGCCCAAAACTTCCCCCCAAAACTGACCCTGAACCCCAGCCACGGACAGCAAAACCCCTCCAGGAGCACCCAAACCCCCCAGGACTCCCCCCAAAACCTCTCTGTGACCCTCCCAGACCCCCCCATGGAAACACCCAAACCCCCCGTGAACCCCCACATCCCCCAGGACCCCCCCCAAGCTCTCCCCAAGACCATCCCAGGATCCCTCAAAACCCACTGCGACCCTCCCAAAACCCCACTATAACCCCCCCGAGCCCCCCAGTGAGCTCCCAAAACACTTCCGTGACCCTCCAAACCCTTCCAGGACCCCCCAAAACCCCTCCAATCCCCTCTCACCCTCAGGGGAGCCCCCCCAAGCCCTTGAGCACAACCCTGCACCCCCAAAACCCTGCTTGTGGTGGGACACAGCAGCACCCAAACCCCCCTGGGACATCCCAAACTCCCTCAGGATCCCCCCAAACCCTTCCCGGACCCCCCCTAAAATTCCTCCAAACCCCACTGACCCTCGGAGGAGCCCCCCATGCCCTTGAGCACGGCTCTGCACCCCGAATTCTCCAGCAGCTCCCGCACTCGCTCGGCCGCTGCCGTGGTCTCCACCAGCACCGACTGCTCCTGGGGCCGCAGCTCCAGCAGCTTCACGTCTGGGGGGGCACAAAGGGGATGTCGGGGGTCCCCCAAAACCCTGGAGGGGGGGTCCCAAAGCTCCGGGGGGGATGGGGGGTCTCACCGGGAGCCGCGTCCAGCGCTGCCCGCACGGCATCGGCACAGCCTTGACAGCTCATCTGCACCGCGAACTCCAGCTGCGGGAAAAACGGGAGGGGTCAGCAGCCCAAAACTGGGGGGAAAGCGGAAAGCAGTCAAAAATAGAGGGGGAAAGTGCCAGCACCTCAAAAATGGGGGGTAAAAAGGGAGGCAGCACCCCCAAAACTGGAGGGAAAGAGAGCCCTGAACCCACAGAGCTGCCCGGGGAAGGGTCCTCAAAGTGCTGTGGAAGGGACCCTCCACCCCCTAAACTTGTTCCTGAGGCTCTGAACCCCCAAATCCCCCCTGAGAGGGAGTTCTGCACCCCCAAAAGTGCTTCTCATACGGGCCTGAACCTCCAAACTCCTCCTGCGAAGGCTCCTGCACCCCAAAAGAGCCGTGGAAGGGATTTTGCACCTCCAGATCTCCCAAAAGCAGAAAGTTTCACCCCCAAACCGCCCGCCCTCCGTTCCCCGAGCCCCTCTGTCCCTCCTTCCCCGACTCCTCGAGTCCCCCCGTTGCCCAAATCCCGTCTCGGTGGTCCCGGACCCGGCAGCTGCTCCCGGCGGCCTCCGGCGACGCCATGGCTGCGGACTCCGGCCCCGGAACCGCTCCTGCGTCACTGCGGCGCGACGGACCCGTTCTGGCGCCGGACCGGATACTACGGGGGAAGGGTTTGGCGGTAGCGCTACTTCCGGAGTCCTGTCGTCATGGCAACGACGCGGCGTCTGGAACGGGGCCTATTGGGGAATTTGGGAGGGGGTTTTGACTGGCTTAGGGGGATTTTGGGTGTCGGGGAGGATTTTGGTGGATTAGGGGGCTTTTGGGAACACGATAGTGGGGAAAAAGGGGAGGTCCTGTGGGATGTTGTGGGGTTTGAGGGATCCCCGGTGGGTGGATATTGGATTTTCCCCTGGGGGGCTGCAGGTGCCAGGGGGCTCATCCTGCCCACGAGGACACACCAAGGACCCCCAAAATGCCTTGAGTGAGGTCCCCAAGGTGACCAGCACTTCCCCCCCTCGACTCCCCCCAAACCGCCGTGGAGCAATAAAGAGTTGGAAAAAAAAGTTTATTCGCCCCAAAAAATGAGCACGGACACGGTAAAGGGACCAAATCTGGGGACCATGGGGAAATAGGATACCCCCAGAGTGATGGACCCACCTCCAGAGGCTCAGAGCCCCCCAAAACCGGACATCAGCCCCCCCAAGGGCTCAGAGCCCCCCTGAATCAGGGTTCAAGACCCAACACCCCCCAAATAAGAGCACCCCTCCAAGGACTCGAAACCCCCCCAGACCCTCAGCCCAGCCCCTCCCTGACCTGCTGCACCACCCTGGCCCTCACCGCCCGTCCCTCCCGAGACCCCGGCCCGGGAGGCGGTGGTGGCTGCGGGGGGGGCTCGGGGTGGCCGGGGGCGGGCGGGAGCCCCTCGGGGGGCTCGAGGGGGACACGGCGGCGCAGGGCGATGTTGTGCAGGATGCAGCAGGCCAGGAAGATCTGGCAGACTTTGGGGGGGCTGTACTGAAGCCCCCCGCCCGCCAGGCAGCGGAAGCGGCGGCGCAGCAGCCCCAGGGTGCGGCGCAGGGGGTCGAGGGTCCGGGCGTGCAGCGCGTTGTAGCGCAGCTCCGCCGCTCCCCGCGGGCCCGAAATCGGCGTCAGCAGCCACGGCTTCAGCGGGTACGTGCGGTCACCTGCGGGGAAAGGGTTGGGGAGGGTCAGGGGGAGACACCTGAACCACGCCCAGAGCAGCAAGGGCACCCCCAGATACACAGGTTAACGCCAGCCTTCAGCAGGGACATGCTGTCCTCTCTGGGGGGCGTGGGTCTGGGGTGTAGGGAGACTCCCGGACCACCCCCATATTCCTGAGACCCCCAGGGTTCCCCCCTGATCCCCAGGACCCCCTCACCCAACAGCCAGACTGCTCCCGCCCTCCATGAGCCACAAATCCCCTGACCCTGTGGCCAATCCGGGAGCCCCCCAAACCACCCAGGACCCCCCAGACCCCCTCTCACCCAGCAGCCAGACCCCCTCCGGCTTGGTGCCCTCCATGAGACGCGCCAGGGCCGAGTTCTCCAGGACGGTGGCGTTGGCACACGAGCCGGGGAACTTGGCCACCACGTTGGTGATGGCGCCGTGGCGGTCGCACACCACCTGCATGTTGATGGAGTGGAAGTTGGCGGCGTTTCGGAACAGGGGCTCGTTGTCAGCCGGTGCCCGCAGCGCCACGTGCATGGCACCCACCAGCCCCAGCACCCCGGGCAGCGCCGGGGGGTCCCCGGGGGGCGCGGGCGGCGGGGGGAAGGCGATGTAGCGCGGTGCCCGCCGCTGCAGCGCCGCCAGGAACTGCGCCAGGCAGTTGGACATGGCAGACTGGCTGATGCCCGTGCTGAGGCGTGACGCCGTCTGGAAGGAGCCCGAGGCCAGGAAGGCCAAGGCCGAGGTGACTTTGACGGCCACGGGCAGCGCGTGGCTGCGGCCAGTGAGGCTCTGCAGGTCGGCACCGAGCTCCCGGCACAGCGCCGCGATGGCCGCTCGGTCCAGGCGGCAGCGCCGCAGCGCCTGCTCCTCGCTCAGCTCCAGGAACGAGCAGCGCACCCGGTAAATGCGCTGAGCCGGGTACGGGCGGCGGCGGCGGCCGCGGCGGGGGCTCGGGGATGGGGCGGAGGGAGCAGCGGAGGGCGCGGGGAGGGAGACCCGGGGCGGGGATGTGGGTAGGGGGTGCTGGTCCAGAGCCCAGCCCTGATCGCGGTCCCCTTCGGGCTCTTCATCCCGGTGCCGGTGCTGATCCCGGTCCCCGTCAAGGTCCTGATACCGCGCCCGGTGCCGGTCCCGGTCTCTGTCAAGTTCTTGATGCCGCACCCGGTGCTGGTCCCGGTCCCAGTCTTGCTCCTCACCGCTGTCCCGGTTCCGGTTCCGGTGCCGGTCCCGGAGCCGCCGCAGCAGCAGCACTGCGTGCGACATGGAGGGGCGGGGCCAGCGTGGCCAACAAACCCGGGATGTGGCTAACGCTGGAGAGGCGGGGCCAGACCCGGCCGGTCCCGGCCGCAGCCGCGTCCCGGTGCCCGCGACAGCGCCGTGAGAGCGGTCGCTCGCTGTTCCCGTCCGGGTTGATGCCGCCGGGGGCGGTCGATCCCTGTCCCGGTCCCGGTGCCTGATCGGTCCCGATGGGAGCGGTTGGTCCCGGTCAGTCCCAGTCTGTCCCGGTGCTGATGGCGGCAGTTGGTCCGTGTCCCTGTCGCGGTGCCGGTCGATCCCGCTGCGGGTGAGGGCGGTCTGTCCCTGTCCCGGTGCGTGTCCCTGTTCCCTCGGTCCCGGTTTGTCCCGCTCGGTCCCGGTTCCCTGGCTCAGACCCTCCCGGTTCCGCGGCGCCGCCAGGCCACGCCCCTCCCCCGCGCTCTGATTGGCCGGCGCTGCCGTCACCTGCCCCGAAGGCTCCGCCTCCTCCCTCACTTCCGGTGCGCCGCCGCTCCGCATTGGCCGCCGCGAGGGCGGGAGCGCTTTGTGCCTGACGCTGTCCGCGCCGCCGCTGGGCGGGGCCTCGAGGAGCCTCCACCAATCGCGTCGCCCTCTCTCGACGTTCTCGGCCAATCAGCGCGCGCGGTGGGCGTGGCCCCGCGTGAGGCGGCCACCGCCATTTTGTTGCTGTCATCGAGTGCCGGGGCGAGGGGGGGGCGCGGTGAGACTTGAGGGACCCCGGGGGGACACGGATGGGACCGGGAGGGCCTGGGGAGGAGCGCGGAGGGAGCTGGGGCCGCGCTGGAGCCCTGCTGTCTGTGGGGGAGAACGGGACGCGGTCCCTTAGCTTCGGGAAGGGGCCTGCGAGGGAGCTCAGACCCGGGACCGCAGCGGGGTGAGGTCTGGGGGAAACCTGGCTTGAGTGCACAACCAGAGCTGAGACCCCGCTTATGACTTGCCGGGGCCTGATGGTCTCCCGGCTCATTGTGAGGAGCCCGGGCCCGGGGGGTTCGCTGCTGAGGGGGTCTCCGTTTCAGGGTGCCCTGAGGGTCCCCTCAACCGGGGGGGGTCCCATGGGGAATCAGTCAAAGGAGGATCTGTGGAAGGTGGGGGGAACCTTCCCCATCCCCTTCCCCCTCTCCGGAGCGGCTCCCACCCCTCAGCAGAGCCGGGGGTGCTGTGGGGAGGGTCTCACCGAGCCCCCCCTTCCCTCCAACCTTCAGGTGGGTCGCGATGGTGAAGCTGTTCATCGGGAACCTGCCGCGGGAGGCGACGGAGCAGGAGATCCGCTCCCTGTTCGAGCAGTACGGGAAGGTGCTCGAGTGCGACATCATCAAGAACTACGGCTTCGTGCACATCGAGGACAAGACGGCGGCCGAGGACGCCATCCGCAACCTGCACCACCACAAGCTGCACGGCGTCTGCATCAACGTGGAGGCCAGCAAGAACAAGAGCAAAGCCTCCACCAAGCTGCACGTGGGCAACATCAGCCCCACCTGCACCAACCTGGAGCTGCGCGCCAAATTCGAGGAGTACGGCCCCGTCATCGAATGCGACATCGTCAAGGACTACGCCTTCGTGCACATGGAGCGGGCCGAGGATGCCGTGGAGGCCATCCGGGGGCTGGACAACACCGAGTTCCAAGGTGAGGCTCAGACTTGGGGGGCTCCAGGTTGGGAGGGGGCACAGGCAGGTTCTGATCTGGGAGAATCTTGGCCGATTTTGGTGTTTCCGGCCCCACTCCGTGGTTGGTGCTGCGTTCGGGGCCTCTTCTCGTCCTGGAGTGCCGGAATTTGGGTTTGGGGATGGTGCCAAGTGCTGTCCCTGTGCCCTCATCCTGGGTCAGGGCTGGCGGCACCGCGGCGGCTCCGTGTTGGGCAGAGCTCTTCCACAGCGTGAGTTTTTAGGAATTCCGGAGGATTTGCCCCAAACTGGTTGGTTCAGGGCGAGTTCGGCTCCTGGGGCCACCTCATGGCACCGGTGCTGTCCCTGTTCTGCTGGAATTTGGGGAAAACAGGGCTGGGAGCCAGCACCGTGTCCCATTGGCTCCTGTTGGCCCCAAGTCCTGCCTGGAACAGTGGTGACGCCCCTTGTCGTGGGGGGCTCGTGCCCACCCAGGTGGCCCTGTCACCCCCTGCCCTCAGTGGAGCCCAGGGTGGCCCTCGGGGGTCCCACAATGACAAGGGTGGCTCACAGGGGTCTCCTGGGCCAGTGCCACCTCCCGGGGGTCCCATGGTGGCAGGGCTGGTGGCGACTGTCGGGGTCCCTGCACTGTGGGGCTGGTGCCATTGCTGGGGGTCCCATGGACCACCAGCTCCAGCCCAGGTTGGCCACCACAGTCTCAGATGTCCTGATCCTTGACTTAATTTAATCTTGGTGCAATAATTAAATAACTCATCAACAAAATAACGGCTGGAGTTTGTGCCTCGGACAAGGACCCCAAACTAAAGAGCCCCTGGGCTTTCATCTCCTCGGTCTGTGCACAGGAAGGTCTAGAGGTTGTCACCTCTGCCACGTCCCCGAGTGTCCCTCACCTGGCTGGGCCACAGGTCCCCAGGCCCTTTGTTGTGCCTCAGTTCACGGTCTCTTCCCAGGGACCATCCCAAAGGTGACTCTTGGTGGTCTCACAGTGCCGGGAGTGGCTCTCGGGGGTCCCCAAGGGCTGGTGCCAGGGACAGGGACAGTCCTGGGGGACCCTGTGGAGCAATGCAGGCACCGGCTCCGGGGAACCCCACGGTGCTGGGGGGATTCCGGGGACCCCCAGTGGTGCCAGGGTGACACTGAGGGATCCCATGACAGGCTGGGTCCTTGAGGACCCCACAGTGCCATGGCAGGGAGCGGCTCTGGGGGTCTCTGTGGCCCAGTGCCGGTGTCGGGGTGGCTCTGGGGGATCCCGTGGCCTGTTGCCCGCGGTGCCGGGGGGGTGACGCCGCGTCTCCCTCTCCCCAAGGCAAGCGGATGCGCGTGCAGCTGTCCACCAGCCGGCTGCGGACGGCGCCCGGGATGGGAGACAAGAGCGGCTGCTACCGCTGCGGGAAGGAGGGGCACTGGTCTAAGGAGTGCCCGGTCGATCGCCCGGGGCAAGTGGCGGACTTTGCCGAGGCCTATAACGAGCAGTACGGAGCCGTGCGCACTCCCTACACCGCGGGCTATGGGGAGACCGTGTATTACGATGAGGCCTACGGCGGGATGGCCGACTACTACAAGCGCTACCGCGTCCGCTCCTACGCCACGGCCTCGGCGTACGACGCCTACGCGGAGCAGACCATGGCCCAGTACTCCCAGTACGCCCAGTACTCCCAGGTCCAGTCCTCGGCCATGGCCGCCACCACGGCCATGGCCGGCCGCATCCCCACCACCTTAGACGCGTACGACCGAGCGCTGCTGCCCACCCCGGGCGCGGCGGCCGCCGTCGCCGCCGCCGCCGCCACCGCCGCGGCCGCCGCCGCGTCCTCCACGTATTACACCCGGGACAGGAGCCCCCTGCGCCGCACGGCCGCCGCGGCCAGCACCGTCGGAGAGGCGTACACGTACGAGCGTGGGCAGCTGTCGCCCGTCTCCTCGGTGGCCCGGGCGTCCCTTTATGACCTGCAGCGCTTCGAGCGGGACCCGTACGCGGACCGGGCGCGATACTCCGCCTTTTGAGGTGAGCGGCAGGAGCACCGGGAGCTCGGCCCGGGTGTCTCCGCGCCGCCAACACCCGGTAATGGCCTTTTCCCCCCCCCCAGGATCGCCACAGACCCACCCCCACCCCGGGACTCGCTGCCGTTGCCGTGGCTCCGCAGCACTCGGATGCCGCCGCCGCGTCAGGTCAGACGTGCCCCGGGTCGCCGCCGCCGCCGCGTCCCCTCCCCGTCACCGGAACCCCCCGTCCCCATCGGAGCCGCCGGAGCCGCCGCGTCCCAGCGCCCGCGTGTCCCCGTGGCCGGGTGTCCCCGAGTGTCCCCGAGTGTCCCCGTGTGTCCCTCACCTCCCCTCACTTCTCTGCTCTCTTCCAGGTGCGGCGGCCTCGGATGGAGCCGTGTCCCCCCTGCCTGGGCCCCCCCTTTTTGTACGGAGTTTCCTCAGAGTCCCCCACGCCCCCCTGCCCGGGCGGGGTCACCCCCGGCCTCACCCACCCCTTTTCCAGCAAAATAAAAATTTTCACCGAATTTGTGTCCCTGAATTTCTGTACCTGGTCCGTACCTGGGGCGGTGGGCGGGGCCAGAGCTGCCCAATCAGAGCGCAGAGCCGGCGGCGTGCTTAAAATCCCGCGCGAAATATGCAAATCACCTGGGGGCGGAGAGAATGCAAATCGAAGGGGCGAGCAGCCAATCGGGTTGCCGGAGGGGAGGGGCGGGGTTATGCAAATTTACCCGCAAGGGGGACCCGGCCCCATTTTAGTCGCGGACCGTGGGACTTACTTTGGCACCCGGAACTTATTTCACAAGTTCGCGTCGCTGTTTCTGTCCGGACTTGTGTGGCTTTGTGACGTCACTTCCGTTGCGACGCCGTCTCCGGAGCGACCATGGCGCTGAACGGCGGTGAGGAACCGCCGGGACCCCCTCCGGGACCCCCCGAACGCGGATCCCGCCCGAAACCCCCCCAGTCACCAACGGGAGTCACCCTGGAACCTCCGCCCGGACCGGGACCTTCCCCGGGACCCCCCTCCCATCACCG